CCTGCCTCTGGAAAAGACACTTCTCAGAAAGGGTGTTTAGCCTAACTTCATTTGGAGCTGGGAGGTGGCTGGGGTTGTTGCAGCTAATGAGACAGCGGGACCTTGTTTTTCATGTAAAGGGTGGATGCTGCTGGAGACAACATATGGTCTAGGCTGAAGGCTTTCCAGAGCTGATGAGCAGCCACCAAATTTAGCCCTTCAAGTGGTCGAAAGGGTGCTATTTTTATCAGTAAAACAAGTTTCTTATGGCTATAGGAAGTGATGGATGGAGAAGCAGATCAACCAGTATTTCAGTTTGCTGCACATAATCCCAAGTGATGTCTGAAACAACATCTTACTTGTTTGTCCCAATTTGGATATATATGCCCTGCTAATATTTCTGTGGTGGTGGTGGTAAACCCAATATCAAGCATTGAGAGAAGTGGAAAGTTGAAATTAGCTCATCTGAGAAGGGACAGTGAGGCCTTTGTCCTCCCTGAGATAATACCCATGATATGTTGTCCCACGGCTCTACACAATGGTGAAATTATTAGGTTGCCATGGATTTTATGAATAAGATCCTAGACTGGGGCAAATGTTTGTTCATCCTCTGAGGCGTATTCAATGCCAGTTTCTTCTTCATAGGTAAATCAAACAGGTCTCCAAATCACCGGTAAATGGGTATGAATTTTGACCCAAAACCAATAATGAGAATAATTATCAGAAAACCACAGTTTAGCACACATCAAGTTCTGACTTGCTCCAAAGTTTTTTCTATTTATCTGAAGAAATATTGATGGAGATTCCAACTGCCTTGGCTGGAGACCCAGCTTCACATTCCAGTGCCTTGGTTGACCACAAAGGAGCAGCATGGACCACCAACCCAGCAAACTGCAGAGACAAGGGGAGGTGTGAGGGCATGACCATGAGCCCATGCTTATGCTTATGAGCAGCTCTAGCTTGTAAAGACATAGATGCTCTTCCCTTTGGGACAACCTTGCTTCATTAAGGAAGAAGGCATCTGGCATCATCTACTGGCATCTGGATCAGCTACTGGCATCATCTAATTTCACAGGTAATTGTGTGAGGAGCATTCTCCTCCTTGCATTCGGGGGAGAAAGTAGGTGCTGGATGAGGCAGCAGTTGTGTTTCCCTGGGCAAAAGCCCTTCTAGAGCTGTCTCCTACCTCGTGATCCAGAGACCCAAACACAGCCCTGCTCCCAGCATCGTGTGTCTCCTTTCAGAGTCTTCTGTCCCTGTGCTCGCCCTGTCTCTGCCCCACATCCTCTGCTCCCAGGCAGGCCAGCCAGCCCAGCAGCCTCCTCCTCTCTTACCCGCAGGTTTTCCCAGACCTCCTGCTTCCTGATGTGACGAGCTCCGGGAGGCTCAGCGTGCATTCCACACAGGGTGTTGCCAGAGTATGTTTTGCTCCAGGATGCCAGATGACTGCTAGCCTGTGAGCTCACTGCTTAGCACTTTGGTGTGGAAATGTACCTTCAGCCTCTGTTCTGTTTTCTCTGTTTTTTAGCCCTTCCCAGCCTTTCTCATCATCTTGGAAAACTGAGGAAATGAACCTTCTCATCCTCCCTGACTTTCCCAGGCTCCCAAGCCTGGACATGGCAAATGACAAATCTTTCTGCAGCTTTCTTGCCATGCTCCATTTCTGGCCCAGTCCTCATTTCTCTTCTGCCTGTCCCCAAAGAACCTTTCGTTTTCAGCAGACTCCAACACTCCTAGGACTGGTTGGAATCCCTTCAAAACCAAGAATCACCAGCCAGGGCTGCCTGTCACAGCAAATACAGTAGTTTGCATATTGGTGAGAAAAGTCTGAGTTTGCTCAGACAGATTTGCAGAGTAAGTCACGTTTTTTCCTAATCAGTGCTAGAAACTATTGGATTTCAAATCCAACATTTCACCCAACGATGAAATGCGTGACTTCTAAAAACCACAAGCTCCATCCACCATTATTGGTAACAATTTGTGGTAGCGAAGGAGATGGCTTGTCGGGGCCATGAAAGGAGCTTAGATGTTCCTATTCGTTGACTCTTAAAGACGAACAGCTCCTGGTCCATTCTGCTTCTGGCTGCTGTCTGTAGTTTCTTCTTCTCTGAGCACTGGTGGGACATGCAGGACACTTGTCCCACAGCCCCAAGGTCTATGTCCTGGGACTGGCAATAAAAGAGCAGATTGCCTCAGACCAATTCATGAAACAGTGAGAAAAGATCAAAAATAGCATGAGCTACCATCAGCTTTCCTCTTCTGGGGTCTGAACCTCACTGAGGGAGGTATCAATGACTACTTTTCTATGACCTGCACATGTCCTGGGACCGGTGGGGAAGGCTGTTGGCTCTCGCTAACCTGGATCTGTCTCTGTGCATGGCTAGGGAGTGGGAGTCCTGTTGATTTGATAGGATGATTTGACACCCAAGGGATGATTATGCCTCTCACTTCAGCTTTGTGATGCTCTCCTGCACTTCACACATGTGAAGAGGTGGAAAAGAGGACAGAGAGGGGAACCTCTGTAGTTTATATGGCCTGTATATGGAGTAGTTTATACTGTATGTGTTTGTTGAACATAAGACATAGTGGAGACTGCTTAAAATAGGGGATGATTTAGTAGTAGTGATTATTGCTTTGATGACTGTATTCTGTGAAATCGGTCTCCTGCGAGGGACAGACCATGAGGTCCCCACGTGTCGGGGAGGTCTATTTCAAGCAATTAACCTCCGGAAAGTAATTATTTCAACCTTTATTTCAAGATAAGAAGTTTATCTATGTATGAACATATGTATGTACATATGTATCTGCTAGGTCAGAATCGAATTATAGAGAAGTCCCTGAGTGAAATGTCTTCTTCTACTCTGAATAAGGAGAAAAAAGTTGATCCTTTCCAAGGTACAAATCCACTAGCCTTTTAGGCTTAAGCTTTCTTATAGCCTGTGCACCTCTTCACATTGCTGGCATGATCTGTCCCATGCTGGCCAGTCAGGAACAAGCCTGTTAGGAAGGCCCTGAGTTGCATATTCTTGGGGTGAGCTGAAACTGAAGCTGATCTGCAAAACTATGTGAAAATATCTACTCAAATACAGCTAAAGTAGAGTCCCCCCTTCCAAAGGGACACTGTGAGCCCAAGCTTTACAAAAGGAAGTTTTATTAACTTTTAGGAGAGGAACCATTCTCATTTCAGCCGGAGAGCAGGACAGTACGCAGCTCTGGGTAGCGTGGCAGCTGCGTTGGGTCTCAGTAGCGGGCAGAGCAGCAGGTTGGTAACCGGCAGTAAAAGCCTCAATGCCCCTTGCAGGTGGGTGGCAGCATCCTGGAGGTACAAGTCAGCCCAGGGCTTTCCAGTTCCAAGAAGAAGCTGCCTTCCAGCCCCAGACAAGTAAGTGCTTCAGCACAGAGGCTTCCTGTGGGCCTCTGGGGCATCCAACCTGCCAACTATGCTGGAAAGCACATGGAAAGCTTCCCAAAGCCCAGGAAGTTTCCTAAGCTCCCTTTGGCACCACTGAGCCCTGTGGCATGTTCGATGGGGACCACAAAGCTCCAGGAGCTTGAGAGCCTCTGAGAGAGCTTAGCATTGACAGCCTGAAGCCTTCCCAGTGTTTCACTGAATTGTCAAATAATGTCCTTATGCCTATAGTATAAATACATAAATACTTTTTAACAACGACTTCGGAGTGCACAGTCAGCAGTGAGGGAGGTTGCTGGAGTTCATGGGGAGCAAGGTCCTCAACCTGCCCCTCTTCAACTGCAAATGGCCCCTCGGCATCAGCAGCTCTGCCCCTCACAGCACACCCATGGCAAGGAGGGTTTGTGCCCATGGTAGCTTCTTGTGTCAGCTCTCCTGCTGCCATGAGCCCGCGCAAGGCAGTCCTCATCCTCAGCAACAAGGAGCAGAGGGATGCGCAGGCACCAGCCACCAAGAGCTGTACGTGTCTCCAGGCTGTGGCAGGAGCGAGGGCAGGCTGCACGTGGAGGTCAGGTCTGTGGAGCTCTCTGGGATCTGCGTGCTTGGCTAGCCCAGTTTGGAGGCTTGTGGGACCTGTCTGAGCCATCCCAGCAAGTGTGAGGAAAGAGGTGCAGACCTGAAGGTCTCGGTGCAGCGGCGACAACTACCAAAAACAAAATCTTTGTGTTTTCCCAAGCTTTACATGCCTGGATTTTAGGGTCAAGCCGATTCTGAGTCTGGGTGTGCACGCTTGAGAGGGATTCCCCTTCAGTGTAACACCTCTGAGAGCTGGTATCAACATATAAATGCCCCAATGGTTGTCCCCTCGGTCCAGGCTTCAGCAGTCTGCAACAAGCCAGCACAGCCAGCTCATATCATTTCTTTTAAAAGCTGCTCCTAAAAAACACAGTCACTACAGGGCCAGTATTTCTGCTGTCTGGGGCAGTCTTTAAGGTCCTTTCCAAACACTCTCTGTTTTTCATTGCCTTTACTTGTCCAATCACAATCAGTCCAAAAGCAGTTTCTTGCAGCCCCCTCACTTTCATCAAGTTTGTTCTCAGGCAAAGAGCTCTTTAGCAGATCTGCTCTCTTCATTCTCCAAGTGGCTTTGAGACACTTGAGGTATCTTCCTGATTTAACAGATGGTTATTTTAGCAAATGTACAGCACGTTTTTTTACTATATACAAATACTGTAAAATAAATAGAGAAACCCAGGGTTTCTCTGCATCTGAGTGACTTGGGCTTTTGATTTTGTTCTCCTCAAGGCCTCCACACATCCAGTGTTTTCTCCAGTGTTAGGAAGATCAATCGTAGATCGCAAAATAAGTGCGCAGAGCTCCAAAGAGAGAAACACGGCATGCACTGTGTAAAGCTCATTTGCAATGTGACGTATCTTACTCCAGCTGAGACTTTCCATAGCCCCAAGATGGGAGGTTAAACTAGTCTTCTGGTACAAGTACAGCTTGCAAGAACAAGACTCCCACAGGTGGATGTATTGGTAGCTGTCTCTAGTTTGGTGTTGGTGGTAGGAAAAGCCGTACTTTACGTGTTACCTTTTTAGCATGTCATCTTCTACCGGAGGCAGTAGAAGATGGGACTTAGTAGCACAAGGCTGAAGGACAAATCCGTGATGGTGGCGTTGGTGTTGGTCCACAGGGCAATGTTGCATGGAGCAAACAAGTAGAAGACCGTGATGAGATAGACTGTCTCGCTGTTGTGCTGGAGAGTTTGCTCCCAGAGGGCTCCACTGTTTTCATCACCATTTTTCCCCAGGATCAGCTTTAATGAGTGTTTTTTGTCCAGCTCGGAGGAACTGATATCACCCTTCAAGGACACCAGGTAGAGGCCATCGCACGGAATAATGATGGAGCCGTTTCTGATGGGAATAGACCCTCTCTCGGCACTGAGGTTTATGGCAATTCCTTTGACGCTTTTACCTGGAATGGAAGAAAGCAAAGGCAGTTCTGTGAAGGTGAGTGACTTCTTGAGATGGGGTGGTTATTATAAAGACTGACTGAGGAAAGGGTGGGAAAAATATAGTAAAGGAAGAGTGTGAAATAGAGAATAAATCCTGAGCAAGTTGCATGTTTTGAACTATAGTTGCAGTTCATGTGAATTATCCCCATGTGCTTCTGCTTAGGCACTATTTCCTGTATTTCCTTCATAAAAATACAGACATGTATGTAGAGCATCCCCCGCGTTCAGGAAGCACAGGTTCCTCAAAAGAACAGAAAATAACAGCAGTAATCAAGAAGATGGAAAAGTGACCACAGCTGAAAGGAAAAGAAAAAGAGCTTTATCTGGAGATGTTAATAACAGAAATCCGTATCTTTGGCTGTTTTCAGTTAAGACATCATGAAAGTGCAGCCTAGAGAGTGAAGAGGAAGGAGCACAATAAGAGAGAGCAGATGGAGGGAAAATTAAAGCCAGGATGCAGTGTGAGAGGTTTCCTCCAGGAATGAGCAGTGACCTTACTCTGAACTGGACTGGGAATGTGTGTGGCCGAGACACTGAGGACACTGATACAAAGACTTTACCAGAGGTCTCCTGCCAGGAAAAGCAGCCTCTCCTGGCTCGGGCCAATTTTCCCAAGTATTCTCTCTAAGAAAATGAGGGTTTTTTTTTTTCTGTACAATATTAGGTTACACTTCCTGCTACCAGTACCTCCACTGAAGGTGTAACCATCAGCTGTTTTTTAAGCAGGATTTATGTATTTTAATATTTTTTTTTCTCTTACAGAGGGATGTCACTGGGCATAATAGGCAGTGCCGCTTGGCATGCCGAGCTCTGCCCCCTCTGCTCTGCAACGCTGCTGCCCAGGAAATCACATTTTCCATAAGCCAGGAACTTCTTATTTCAAAAAAAAAAAAAAAAAAAAAAAAAAAAAAAAGAAAGAAAAAGGAGATAATTCTCGAAAATACGTTTCTTACTCTTTCCAAGCGCAGGTTTGTGTTTAGATGCAGTCTAAGCCGCATCTAAAGGAAGAGCCCGTCCCGGCCGACTTGCAGGGCAGATTCCGCCCGTCTCGCCACCCGACCGCCCTCCCGGCCTCTTCCTCGGGGGCCGCAAAGCCCCGGGCTCGGACACGGAGCCGTGGGGAAGCGCGGGCAGCCGCGAGCCGCCCTCCCCGCCGCCCGGGCGCCCCACCAACCTGTGAACTTGACGTGGCTCCACGGGACCTGGTCGCCGGCGGGCTGCAAAGCAGAAGGGAGAGAGGCGCGTGGCGGCGGCGGGCAGGCGCGCCGGGGCGGGCCCGGCACCGGCACCGGCACCGGCACCGGCACCGCTCCCCGCGGCCTCGCGCCCGCTCTCGCCGCCGCTCCGGGCGGTGTTAACCCCGAAACGCGTCGCACGGGGCTGCCGCAGGAGGCGGCTCGCCGGAGGTGCCCGCAAAGGTGACTTGCGTCTCATGAGCGAAGCAGAAAAAGTGAAGGCGAGTGCAGAATCAGATATGCAAAATGCCACACGTGTGTATTAGATTGGGTTCTTTTTTTTTTTTTTTAAATCTGAACTTTGCATCTCAAACCCATCTCTCATCTTAACCACAGGAGGCCCGAATCTGCAGTCGCTTCACAACCACAAGTCCTCGGCGTCTTGCCTGATTACAGAGTGAAAGGTTAGGCTCGCCGGCCCCTTTTCTCTTCCTTCTTTATGCCAGAGGCTTCCCAGGGGAAGAAAACGACCTTGCCAGAGGCACCCTGGGCAGATTTTTATGTGTTTAGCCTTGTTTGATGGAGGAGCGGAGCAGCTGGAGGAGCGCCGGAGGCAGCAGCCTGGACATGGAGGGACATGGAGCTCCGGACACAGGGCCTTGTCCCAGCGGAGTGGAGCGGCCGCGAGGTGGGTGCCGGGTGCGGGCAGCGGGAAAGGCCTCCTCTGGCACCCTCTAGCGCTGCTAGAGCCGAGCTTTTGCCGAGGTCCTGCCGCTTTGCTTTTCCGCAGGCAGCATCCCTCGCAGCCGGTCCTGCCTGGCCACCAGGCTGTACGGCAGGTGACAGTGGGCTGTGTGGATGGGTTAGGTGGCAACCTTGCAGCTGTAAGAGCAGCGACTCTGCTGCTGCTGAGGCACATGGTCTAAGTCTTTATTCTGCTCACCATGAAGGCATAAAGCTCTTTACAACCAGCTGCCATCAGATCTTGCAGAGGGAAGAACTCACCTCTAGCAGTGGGAGGGACCAGGTGAGCTAGTAACAAAGCTCATCACCCCCATTTCACTCTTCTTCACATGGTGTGCAGGAAAGGATGCCAGGAGGGTCCCAAGCCACAGACAGACTCCTCAGCAACCACTTTAGTTTTTCCTGCATCATTTGCACACCGTTTATGCCTATTCAGGATCCCCAGACATGAGATTTGTTGAGGTGATTCCCAAGGATCTCATATCTATGATTATCCAGCAGTTTCTAGAGGAGTGTCAGGAGGCAGAAGTTTTGGGAAGGGGGTTCGTGTTGCCCAAAGAGCAAATCTCAGGGGGCCCTCGCAAGATGTCTGACCATGAGGACCCTTGAAACCACGTGCCTCACTCTGGTATCACACAGACTGCAGCCTACTATGCTGTGCCAGTGGCTCATACCTTCTCTACACCAGGAGATAGTAGGAGATACTAGGATTATGGCCACAGGCTCCTTATCCATGTTAAATTTCTGCAAAATCACTCCTCCTGCCCTTTCTCCTGCTCTTAGCAGGCAAAAGTCCTTCTTGTGAGAGATCATTAGGAGCCTTTAGGCTTCCAAACCAGCTGGGGACTTTCACATCATATGTGTTTGTCATTAGGGAGCTTCACACCCTGCAGCTCCATCAGGGTGGCCTGGCCTTGGCCTTATCCCACCCAGCTAGCATGGAAGCTATCCCAGGAGACATGGAAGCATAAGCGTTGCAGATGCAGAAGCTATCACCAGCATTTTTTTCATTGCAGCTCATTAGGAAATTGCAGCTGAGGCATGCTCTCCAAGCCCCACCGTGGCAGAAAACCAGATCACTGCCCATTTTTGTTAAGCACAGTTTGGGCTGCTCTTGTTCATCTCTTGAGCATGTGCCTTAATGTTATCAATGCTGTATTTTTATTGAATGCCTCTGGGTTTTTGAGAGCTCTGAAGACAACAGCAGTTAATCAAACATAGTCTTAAAAAATACAGCCAACATCATGCTATTGAAGTTATTGATGAAGCCTGCATCCCTGCAGAGCAGAGGATGGCTCCTTGGAGGAGCAGGCACAGTGCAGTGCCAGGCAGTGTCTCCCTAAACTGCCCTGTGTGGCAAATCAGAGGCACAGTTGCCTCTTCCCTACACTTTTATATGGTCAGCCCTGTAAATCGGGGCTGATGAAATTCCCCTGTGCACCATCGAGGAGACTTCTCCTGCCCAGCATGGTGCAGTCAGATCAGGAGAGCATGGTCATCTGCTTAAAATACTGGAAAGCAGTTCTGAGCCTGCGGTTAGCAAGGGTTGCAAGCTGAAAGGGTTCTCTGGTGACTCCCAGAGCCTGGACTTTTCATCTGCTGCACTAACTGCTCCTTGAGCATCCTGTTTCAGTCACTTCTCTTGTAGAAGGGAAACTCCAGGCATGGACTGTGTCTCCTGCTCGACTGCTGCCATGTTGGGCTTGTAAGGCTCACGTGTGGCAATGCCAGTGTCTCCGTCCTCTAGATGGAGAGGATTTGAGTGGATGTTTTTACCCAACTGAGAGGTATTAAGAGAGAGGATGCACAGCCGGAGTGGGACACAAGGGACATTGCTGCATCCTGAGCAGAGCAGGAAAGCTCGCCCCTCTCCATAGGCTTCCAAGTAGTGAAGGGAGAAGAAAGAGGATGGAAAGAGTTATCTTTTGTGAGGGATTTCCCTCGGAAGTTCACTAACTGTTTAATAACTTGCAGAGAGCTTCAGGTTTCCATTAGCAGCAAGGAACCCAGAGCCCTGGGCCATCAAACCCTTGACTGGCTTGCTGCTCTGCCAAGACTGAATGGGAGGAAAGAGTGAATGCTGCTGAGATGAAACACAGCAATTTTAAGTGTTACAAAGCACCTGGAGAAGATGTGGTAGGAGAAGGAGCTAGTGCATAAGTGGTGCTGAAATACCGCTGAGAGGCAATCCAGCAGTCTGCAAACATGGGAATGAGCAAAATACATTTGCTGCAAGTTTTGCTAAAGTATTCTGTGCCTCAGGTATTTCTGCTATTTGTGTGGAGCTTGGAACAAGGTTATAAAAAGTTAAGTGTCTCGTTGATCATATAATCAGCATTTGTCTTGTTGGCACACACAGAGATATTTCCTTTCCTCTGCAGATACGGCTATTTCCAAAGCCTGGTACATTTGCACACAGGGGAATCCTGACCTGGGCCAGAGCTCTTGCTGGGGTTGTCGCACACTCGCCTGCTTTCTGACATGCCTGCCTGCACATAGGGCATCTTAAAAACAGCTCAAGAGACCGAGTTTTTTGGTCTTCATCCAAGAAACTTCCCTTGTTGAAAGCAAGTGCTCATCCAGGTGATCACTTCAATGAGAATGTGCGTGAGTAGCTACTGAAGGCTGCAGCCTGGAGTAGCACAGGGATCACCGGAGAGGTAGCCCTCCCTTGCTGGATGTTATTTTGAGGGCAGAAGATGTTAAAAAAGAAGACCAAAAAAGCCTAAAGGCTTTTCCTTTCCCAAAAGAAGCCCCAAAAGCCAAAAGCTCTTAGCTGAAAAGCAGCTAGCATTGCAGGCGAGCAGGCAGCGGGATGAGCCCGAGCTCTTACCTTCGCGAGCTGCAGAGCATCGATGGCGAGGTAGATGAAGCAGGCGAGCAGCAGCACCCACTGCGCAGCCGCAGACACGAGGTGCAGCGTGTTCCTGCGCAGCTGCCCTCTCTGCCAGCTCCTCCACTCCTTCTCGGCAGCTTCCCTCTCCAGGTCCCTCTGATGCTCGTGGCTCTTGAGCTCCGTGTCCGCGGCTTTGTCCATGTCTGCTGCTCTGCTCTGCTCTGCGCGCTGCGGGAAGCAGCCCAGCGGGGTCGGGACGGGGACAAGTGGTGTCTTGTCCCAGGAGCAGAGGTGCAATGAAGACGGTGCCTTCAGGAGAGTGCTTTATGCACACAGAGAAGCAGGCGGGGGAACTTCTTTGTGACTAATCTGAATTTCCCCTTCCTTCCTTTCTTTCTTTCTTTCTTTATCTTTTTTTTTTTTTTTTTTTTTTTTTGGTGAATGTGGGGGCTGATTTAGTGCATCCCAGTTCAGTTTTGAGTAAGGCCCTTTGAAAGTAGATGTGTTTATGCTGCTCATGGCTACGTGTGCGCATCTCTGGCTAAGTGATATTGCAAACAATAGCTGCCAGCGGCGTGGACCTCCCTTGCTCTCCCCACCAAGCCTTCCCATGGTTTCCTATCAGCCTCCAGTGGCAGGTCGGCAGCAGGGGCTCCTTTTCATCATATGCTGCTTAGCAGCATATGATGCTGCTGAAATATATGTCTATATAGATAATACTGGGCAGCTGGACAGCATGGAGGGCAACAGAAAGTGTGCATCTCTCCACACCTTTCCTGGGCAGCCTCAAAGCAGTGTCGTGTTGCAGGAGACTTCACAGGGTGAGAGCTGAGACCTGCACAGGTGACATCCCCTCCTGCAGCCCCCGTGACCGCACAATTCTTGCTATACCCCGCAGCAAACGCTCCTCCACCATCTCTTTCGCTTTGTCTCCTCGTGACATTTGCCGGAGAGCTGGTAAAGGTCAGTGGTCTGCAGCCGGGACTGTCTCCTCGTACTCATTTTGGGCGACGTGCTTTGCACCCTCTTTTGGGGCAGTCCGGCCCTGCCGCTTCGGCCAGGCTTTTTTTTTTTTTTTTTTGCTGTTGAAAATTAGCATGGCATGACCCAAGTCAGGCGCCGCTTCCTCGCGACGGCGATCGGGCCCGCTGGGAGGCTTATCGTGAGCCTGCCTTTCGGGGATGAGTTGTCAGAGAGTTTCTCTTCCCCAAAAAGTTCTCCCTCAACCTGTCACAAGGTCCAGGTCCTGCCAGACATGCCCTCGGCTCGCAGGGGAAGCAGAAGTCATGTTCTTATTGTCTCTTTTTTCTTTCTATTCCATTTAGGCAAGGATATTTCCTGTCGACGTAAGTCAAAGGGAGAGGGGGAGTCCAGGCACCAGGTAAGCAAATTGCCATGAGGTTCACACGTGTCCAGGTGCTGCTCTCGGGAAATAACCTCCGAGTTGCCCACGACCACTCGGACGTGTCGGGAACACGCTCTGCTCCACGAGGCCTTTCGAGAACGAGCTGAAAAGGAAGATTCAGCTTTCAAAATTCCCACTGTTTCTCAAGGGACATGGGAAGCGCTCCGTCGCAACGCGAGCCTCACTTTGGAGGCAGGATCTAGACACCTAAGAAGGCCAAACCAAGGTGATCCCATAATTCTCACATTTCCCATATGCACCATAGAACCAGACACAGTCTCTTGCCCATCTCCTGTGGATTTTTTTATGGGGTCGTTTCTAAAATAAAAAGAGAAAAATGCTCTCTGGACGTGGGAGGAGGAGATGTGCATATATGTGTGGATGCACATATGTGTTTCTGAAATTGGCTTGTCATTTCTGTACCCCCTTCCCAGTGCAAGTGTCGCTCAGGCCGAGTTAACAGCCCTGCTAGTGCTGAGGAGCAAAAGCTGCATTTCAAGTGATGCCAGCTAATTCAGCAGCATCACGAGCACCTAGGCACAGACCGTCTTTCGCGGTTTGAATCTCATCCCTCTACCTTGCCTAGGAGGCCATGCAAATCTAGTGGCTTCAAGCAGAGGTTTTCAGAGCCCTTGCTTGCCCTCCCATGGAAAACATGTCCCTTCCCAGCCGTGGCCTCCCCGCTGGGTCTCCCTGTTGCTGCCTGCACCCAGCGGTCACCTCTGTTGGTGTCGGGCAGCGGACACAGGTTGTGCAGGTGTCGGTGGTTTTTCCTAAGAAACGCCTCTTGGAAACGCTCACAATGGCTTTATTCCTGAGGCCTGGAGACCACTGGAGCTAGTTAGCTGGAGGGATGGCTTTTGTTTGTTTGTTTGCTTGGGGTTTTTTGGCGACGGTACTGTATCCCCCACGCTAGATGTTTGTGTTTTTTTGTCATTTCTGGGCTTTCCCAGCCCAGGGCGATGAGCGTTTTAAAAACCTTGTCTAAAACATGGTGCTACTGTGTGTTCCTAGCTAAGCTTTGCACCGAGCTTAGGCTGCAGAGCCCTGGAGTCTCGTGCCACGAGGTTGCTGCTTTCCACCCCGCAGAGCAGCAGCAGGAGCCGCGTGGCCCTGGGGACCTCACCGAGCTGCAGTCACACGGCATGGGTGCTCCTCCAAGGGCTACAAGACCCAGTGAGGGGGTCAATTCCTTCACGCTGGTTAAAAAAAAAAATAAATGAATAGTGCTGCTCCCGTGCTTCTCAAGCACATGAACTACTTTTCAGCCCCAGATTTCACTTCTGCGTGTGCCGTCCTCGCCCCTGGCCGACGGCCACCGCCAGCCACATGGTTGCTGCTTTCGGGGGCTCCTGCCAGCAGAGGTGCAGAGCCAGCGGGGTGACTGCGTTAGGCAAGAGCCCCCTGACAGCACGAGCTGGGTGAGAGCATTGTGAAAGTGCCATGAAGTCACCAATGAAAATATGGACACTTGTGCCGACCCTGGGTTTCGTGGGGACATCCCAAAGACATACCCCATCTTGCAGTGGGACTTTTTTTACTCTTTTTTTGCTCGTTTTTACTCTTTTTTACTCTTCCTGTAGCTTCAGGTTGATCACGGGGCATGGAGAAGGAGCTGCGTTTTGCTGCAGGAGCTCCTGGGGGTGCAGGAGATGCAAGGCAGGCCGCTTCCCAGGGGCATCTCCCAGCAGTGACCCAGAGCCATGGCCCTCAAGCCTCCAAGCAAGGGGCAGTGACGGGACTGTCCAAGACGGGACGAGTAGCAGGTTCTCCACATCTCGGAAGGTCACTTGTCACCCCTTTTTTGTCTCTACGGGAGTTTTTCCATTGCTGACTGATGTCGGCCCTGGACGTTATCTCTTTCCATTGCCCCTTGTGCATGTTCCTCTGGGTGGGCTTCACTTATCATGTGTGTGCTGAGTGGGAAGGGGCTGAGTGGTCACCATGGCGCCTTTAAAAGGTCGGGGTGAACTTAGTCATACCAAGCTCCCTTCTTTTTCCTCAGCGGACGCTTTGGTCGGAAATCACACCTAAGCATATCAACATGCCAGAAGATAGCAGGAGATAAAATCAAGTACATCTTTTGACATTTTGCTGCTGGGAAGAAACAGGAGTCTAGCGGAAAAGAGATAATTAGAGGGCTCTCATGGCAATTTTAGGGGTCTCATTTAAAAAAATGCACCCAACTAGCTTCATTCCCAGTTGTGCCTGGGGGATTAGAAGCCCCTAGGAGGACGTGCAAACAGGTCATGCACCAGGCCCAGCTGTCCCAGGAAGGCAGAGGCGGGTTAAGTGGTTCGTCCTGCCTGTCCGCTTCCTCTCATCTCCCTTATGTGAGTTTGTTGGTCATCACAGAGGTCCGAGAGTCACCCGGCTCCTGAAAATAATGTTTTATGTCAGCTTTTGTCTCATTCTGTGGCCCTGTAGCTTACTCAGACTTTGAAATCTCTTTTGTAAACACAATGATAGGAATTGAGTGCAGGATTTCAGGGAAGGTTTCCAGGCAGAAGAACTGTCTTTCCTTGGTCCAAATTAAATAGCTGGAATGAAGCAGGAGCACATGGGAGATGGGCAAGCAGAGACAGCAGTAAGGGGAGAGGAGCATTGTTTCACAAAGCCCACATAGCTACCAAGTCAATGGCTTTTAGTTTTTGATGGAGTAACACCTTTTGCTTTGCTGCCTCGTGCTTCAGAAGACTCAGATGCCCTCTGCATTGCAGATACGGGATCCTCTTCATCCTACACCATTATTTCTGGTGTCCTCTAGCCAGCTGATCCCGTCTGCCTGCAAGCCTGGCCCTGCCTGCGTCCCTCCATCCTACTGTCACGTGTGCTTCTTGCAGCAGTGAAGTTTTTATACTTATGTCCAGATGGTTCATTGCAGAGAACTTCATTCCCATCCTAGCCAAACCCAAGGAGAAGGACCTCCATGTGGTGCCATTTCCTACTCTAGGAAATGAGTCAATCCATTCTTTTCCCAGTATTCTGTTGGGGTTGTAGGGTCATCCTTTGCTAGCCAGGATATGCGCAATGCTACTTCACACATCTTTTAAGTCGAATTCTTTCAGCAAAATTAACTATTGAGCATGCAGTTCTGGACAACGAACCAAGATCTGGTGCCAACAAGTGTGTCTTGACCGGCATGAAGTCTCTCTGCAGGCCTGGAGTCTTTCTTTGATCAAATCCCAGTCCAGCCCTGTTTTCTTGCAGTCAGGTCTGCCTGCCCCTTCAGAATTGTGAAACTTTTCTGCCTAAAGACATCTATTTTGAGGCTTATTTCTAACTGGGATTAAATTCACCTTCTTAGGTACTTTGAAGGTACTACACCTTCATAGCCTCTCCCTTATGGACACTTGGTGCTCTTTCCTCTCCCTGTTTTCTCACTAGTGCTTTCCTTGTGTTTAATAGCCTCCAGCTTAGACTTCTGAGAAAATATAGGGCTCGACTTTCCATTGACAGTCATTTAGCTATTGTTGTTTCCATTTGGTCAGTTTTGCTCATGATTTCCTTCAATTTATATTAGCGCTTTTGCAACATCTAGTACCTATATTACTGGCTGGGGCTGTCCTGCATGTGCTTATTTTGAGTATAATCACAGTGTGGTCACTCCTCCCTGTGCAATCGCCATATCTTCAGCAACTTAATCATAAAAAGCATCAATAGAGCCGCCTCTTGCATCAAGTTCAGGAGCTTTCGTACTAGGAACAGTCCCCAGTAACCTTGATACTAGTCAGCAAGCCCCTCTCCAAGGGGGACACCCAAGGGGGATGCCCGGAGCGTTCGCTGTAGGCTCAAT